AGCAGTTTTTATCCCTTTCTACTATTCCCTTCCCCACAGATTTTCTTTCAATTGGTCAATAATGTCTTCATTGTCAGGTGGATAATAGTCATGTATTGCCTGTGAAGCTGTTGGATTCCAGAGTGAGTGAGTAACACATGGGGTTAAAGTAGCAACCTTAGAGAATGTTTTTTGTTGCAAAGTTGGTACAAAACAGTGCTGCACTTTCAATTATTTAAGGATTGACATTGCAATGAATGGTCATATCACAGGATGTGTGATGCCAGGTGAGGCAGATTAACTCAAAAAGGCCATGCTACAACCCTTTGCTACTTGTTACAAAAGAACATTTCCTTGACTAATTTACGAGACAAGTCTAGAACATTATTTACCGATGAAAGAGTTCCTGAATACACATCATGTTGCTAATGAGAGACATGCTAGCATAGCGAACGACCAATCACAATCATTCTTGTCTTCCTCAAACAACCAAAGCAACAAATTGTCAACCATTACCTGAAAACAACGAGGAAAGGGAAAAGCTGGAAAAAAGGGAAGATTTTACAGTAGAAGATTTTGTTGAAATATTTCAGCTACAGAAAAACAAATGTTAACCAAAACAGGTACTTGTTGTACTTGTCTCTGTTTTTTCCCCAATATTCTGCAGGCATTGTGGGAAGCAATCGTACAAATAGATTTGAGCAAAACTGTGTTCATTTTCTGTGAATGACTTCAGAAGGTGCCTCTCTTTTCCTCCTTCATTATCCCTGCTAATCTTATCTCTCGCTGTCCTATTCAATTTATCCCAAACAACTGATGCCAGAGATTTCTAGTACAATGTTTATTGCATGTGTAATGCTCAATGTTGGGGGAAGAGAGAGAGACAGAGAGGGAGGGAGTGTGTGTGTGTAGACATCACGTCTGATAAGGAACTTAATGACAAAATGTATCCATCTTTTATCTTTGTAAACCACACAATAACATCACAGTGCAGCATTAAAAGCAGGGGATTATTTCACCTTGTCACATTCAGAAGATGGCATGTCTGACCAAAACTATAAACACTTTTCAAAGCTTAATTCTGAATTGCAGAGAACCCCTGGACTGTCAGTCTTGGTTGGCAGACAGACAGTGAAAGACCAGATTTGGTTTGCTATCTGTGGGAGAGACTGTTGATGTTTGAATGAGAGCATGATTCATCCATGAACCTTTGACTGTGCTGTTGGAACAATAATCCACTGTTATTTATCCTGTCTAGTCTGCTAGTGATATGATAGAATCACCATGGAGGCCATCACCATGTAGTAGGGCTGCTCAATTAATCATATTTTAAATCGCAATTACGATTATGGCTTGCAACGATTACGAAAACAACGTAATCGAAATAAAACGATTATTTTTTTATTATTACTTTTAATTTATTTTTTCAAATAATTTTTTTTTTTTAATTGGTTTTTCAGTTGAATTATACTTAAAGTTCAGGGTAATCAACTGTTAAAAACATACTGTTCAAATATTTTTCTTCAATAAATGGATGTTTTCAAAGTAAATGGATAATTGTTTTTAATAATCGTGATATCAATTATTGACCCAAATAATCGAGATTATGATTTTTGCCATAATCAAGCAGCCACCTGGGGAGAATCATCTCTGCATGGACCATTGATGCATCTGGCTTGCTACAAAGATACATAAGGCACAATCTAGATAGCACCACTATCAGGGCCATTTAGTAATCCACCTTGATGATGTTGGGGTTGTATCGGAAAACAAGCAACAGATGCAAAGATGCTAAAAATACTTCAGTTCCCTTAGTGCAACGTATAGCATCTCATAACAGCCTCCCTTAACTCTACACCTTCAGTCTGCAACAGAGGATTTCTGTTAGTCACCAAGCCTGAGGCAAGATAGAAAAAAAATAAGCCTGACATCATCAGCGATTTCTCAGTAGTAGACTGTGCATATACTGTAAGGTTCCCATTGCCTGCCCATAGCCAAATAAGTGTTCCTTCTTTTTTGTTAGTGTTACCGTTTCTAAAACCCAGAGCAACATAGAAAAACGACAAAAACAAACTCCCAGCTAGCACTGACATAGCACTAAACTGAGTTTTATAGGTCTGGCTATGCGAGACGATATTATTGCATGTTTTCCCACTGGTTATGTACAAAGTTTCACTACAGTAAGCAAGCTAGGTTAAACACAGAAAAACCTTGGCTCACACCCGAGTGGACATATTCAAAATAAAACAAATTCCCACCACTCATTAATTTTGCAAGACAATTGTCATTATTTTAGATGAACAGAAGTGTTTTTTTGCCCCGAATTATGATGTTCAGCCAGACTTTTCTTTGACGAGACACTGCTAAAATTAATTTCAGAGAGTAGGATAGCTATTCAGGACCATGTTCTCAAACTACTCCAGAGCCAAATACAGAACCTTCTGCACATTTAGTTAAGTGCATCTTAAAATTAACGTTAATATGAACGTTAACTTCTACTTCTGGCCTTCAAGAGAGAAAACTGTTCTACATACAAATGTTAGCGTTAAGTGACTTCATACAAACTTTTCTAAAAAGATCATTTATGTTATTTATATGTGAAGTTATTCCACAATGCTTAGGTATACATACAGTTTAAAGATGTCTGCTGTGTTGCAAGACTAGCATAATAAGTGACTGATAATCGCAACATATTTTATTCTTGAGTTGATACAAACAACAGTTGTGTAACTAGCGTTGAATCAGGAATGCAAGTAATTAACATGTTCAGTTTGGCCTTTGTGCATTTATCATAATGTCAACATCAAACACAGTTATTTGAACACTGGATTGTGTTTTTAAGTAAAACAGACACACTGTTGCTGCTTCAGTTAAGATTAATCACTGTTGAATTAGCTCAGTAACCTTTTCCAACAAAGAAACATCCACAGGCTTGAATTACACGCACACAATTATGTAAACAAAGACTATCTAATAAAGGGTACTGAGGCCACCTTTGGCTTTTCAAAACATTAGCAGTTGGCCTTGGATTGCTTTCAGCCAAGAGCTTTCCTGTGTTTAATAGGATTCAATAGTGCAATAGCCTGCAAACAGTGATGCAAGTTTATTATAGTACGAGTGTTTTAGAGTGCCATTGTATATTTAATATTTGTATTTTCTCTGTCAGACTGACGGAGCAATTTGAAGGCCTCTCTTAGCCATGCTAACTTGCCAATGCCTTATGTCCTTTTTATCAAAATCAAAATCCAGAGAACCATTACTCAGAGCTCCACTTCCAGACTGCAGCTTGCTTTCTATGTTTTTTTACATGTTGTCAATCAATTCCAGTCTGTCCTACTTGAAAAATGACATACCATTACAACATGTCAAATTCAAACACCAATTACTAGGCTTCTTTACAACTTGGAAAGCTGCAATATGTTTGGTTTAACATATCAATGAGGTGTTGATTTCTGCTCCCAAAGCTAACACGTACTGCGTTATGGCTTTTAATGTTACATGACTAACCCTGCCTCTGCAGTTGTGATGGTTAATTCCAAGTAAAGATCGGTAATTATATAGTGCTGCTGCTGTTTTATCTTCCTCGCTTGATCATGTGAAATGTGGGAAATGTCAGTGATAATGGCTTATACATGGGAATGAATTAGCTCTGAAAGGATGGATGACGGATGTTCAGCAGGGGGCCTCCTGAGGCGTATGCCTTCCGTACATGCCAAACAGGCCTACAGGTATGTGGTGCATAAAACATAATATCATCCTGCTAAGAAATCACCAATGCTTACTAACTGAAAGATCATGTAGGACATTTATCAAGCACACATTAAAGCATTTGCTGGGTAAATGTTTCCAAATGTGAAGATTTGCTTCAGTAAATGGAATCTGGAACATTGTAATGGACTATTTTTACTAATTCCTGAAATGGTGTAGACTAACTAATTAGCCAGTTATCTGAATTGATTAGTTAAGTAATTATGAAAACGTTGTTTTTTAGCCCTAGCCCACCATAAGTGGCTAAATAAAAACTGCTACAGCATACATGTCCTCAGGCCCCAATTAAAGAAAAAAAAACCATTATGAATTCCTCCCACAGCACTGTTTCTGATCATACATGTAAATAACATGGATTTATTCAGGTCTGCAAGAGCCAATGATTCATATACTAGAGTCATTCTGTAAACTATTCAGAAACATACCACACAGCTTCTGCTATAGCCCAACAACATGCCAGTGAATCACACGACCCTTGCCGTCCTTCTTAAAATGTGCAAACACACCAGGGAGGTGATCACCTTGCAATACTAATGATTGGCAGCCATAACATTTTTTTGCTAATGCTCACCAGAAGCCCATGAGTGCAACATTAACAGGGACAGCTGAGCATCTGTCACTTGGCTTTCTGAACACACGCCTGTCAAAGCATTCAGTCTTTCAACTCAAAACGCGTCTTTGTGTTTTCCTCCCTCTACAGAGAGTGGATGTTGGAGAAAAAAGCTCGACTTATTCAGAGGCTGCATTCAGAGTGGACTCTGTTTCCTGCAGTGCGCGTAAATTCGGTCTGCCTACCCTGGTGCGGCACACGCATCAGAAGGATCGGGTAGCCTCCAACTCCCACTCTGTTACAGCAGTCTGTCTATCATTCATAACTCCATCGTGTGTGCAAAAACACCTTAGGAGAATCAAACTGAGACGCACAAGAGCCAAACACACTCATTATATCCCCAGAATGAGTGAGAGAAAGTGCGCACGCTTTTGCTGCTCCTTACATCGCCTGCTTTTTTTCTCCTCACAGCATTATTTCCCGGGATGCCCATTGCAAACGCAGTCAAACTCACCGCTTACGAGCGCGCGCACATGCCCTCCCGCACAAGTCTCCTATTCATATGCCAACAACACAGTAGCCTATAGGCGGGGGCACACGCCTGCGCAACACTGACAGTTACGCGCACAGGTGCACATTCAAAAACTTACACTCTAATACGGATAACAGCTCCAAGCAAAACAACTTAATTCCTCTCTCTTACCTCTCCACGTGAATTCCCCTGAACACACATGGCAGCATATTAAAGGAAAAGGCACGCGAGTTTGAGTTTGTTCCTCATTTATCTTTCGCTCCGTGTCTCAGGTGCAAAGTAAAGCTTCCTTCCTCTCCCGGGCAGAGCTTCACTGCACGGCTTCCAGAGAGCCGATACTCTCCCTCTCTCCACAGTGTGTGTGCATGTGTGTGTGCGTCCGAGCCGGTGCATGTGTGCGAATCTCTCCTCCGGAGCCTCCTCCAATCCTGCCCGGCTACTGCGGCGGCTGAAGCCGAGGAAGGCATCTGATTGGTTGGTTAACAGATCAATCCATGGCTGTTAAGCTCGGACCGGCCTCCGCGTGCCTCCCCCATGCCTCCCCCATGCCTCTCTACCTCTCTCTCTCCATTATCTCCTTCTCCTGCTCTGCTCCTGTCTTCCTCTGTTAACACGTGATTATATAAGATAGTGATCAGGAAGCGATATCCTTATCTCATTTTCTTACACACTCTCACACACGCATAGCGCTAGACACAGCTTACCTTCCCTGGCTGTCCCAGTAGGATAGAGAGCTTCATCAGGGAGGACAACTGCATATATGCTGGCACAAACTCTGTATGAGATGCACACTATATGCTGCACTGATTCTCTCATTTAAAAACAGGAAATACATTTAAAAGTTTTCCACTCCAATGACAAGAATTTTAAATCAGGACGTTTCAGAAAGTGTTTATGGGGATGGCCTTTATTCTTCCAAAGTTACATCCCATTCTTCTGTTTACAAACAAATATGGAAATCAGGGATTATATATTTTTTAGACATAAATAGACTAACAATAAAATATTTGAGTTTATATTTCTCAGTAATGATTAGAGATACTTTCATCTTTTCTGAATCACCATAAACAAAGCACAGACACCAATTACTCCAGTGAGAAGAAGCATAAGAAGAGTAAGGTCAACACTTAAAAAATGTAATAAAATATTCTAAAGTTGCAAGTTTAATTTAAATGTAAGCCTTCAACACTTATACAGAATAATTAGCATACTATTTTGGGCTATTGAGAGGCAATTTAAATAGCACATGATTCAACCTACCTTTTAAAAATGACTGTGTTGAGCACTAAAGGCTCTTTATCAAGTCAAACAAAAGACCTCAGACGTATGAAATAAGGATGCTAGTGGAGCACATCCATTGATCCCCCCTATCAATCGGATGTGAATGGATGTGGGACTACAGTATCCATATCCTGCATGGTATGTATACAATATCTTCTGTTCACAAAGAAAAGGGTGCGTCTGCTGATGTTTTTCAGGTGCATAGCAGATGATCAATGAAGAATGACATTTTGATTTTAATCATGTTTCGAAAAGGCTTTGCATTGCTTACTCAAATTCAAAGTTGTATCTGCAACCATGGACATCCGTGAATATACTTCTCAACTGTATTTACATCTGGTGTCACTGACAGCCTTTCAACAAGGTTTGGAGTCTTGCAGCATGGACAAGCTATGCCACAATAAGTGCAAACCTTTTTTTTGTTGCAGCAAAGATGTTCTTTTCTTTGCAAACCAGAACATAAACATGTGATCTACAGAAGCATGGTTCAATTCACAGTCTCCCAAACACCAGGCATACCTGCTTTGAACATAACATTTTACCGTGCAGGAATATCCTATAACTAAACCAAAAATCAAGAAGTCAATGTTTGATATTGCTGGACTTTGGACTTGTGGAGCAGAGGGTAACGGTGTTGAATGTAATGTGCTGTGTAGCTACTCCCACATTCTGCCAGGATATCCCCCAACATGTTATACTTTGAGCTTTTCCCTACACCTTCCTATAAAGGTGTTTTAAGCCCACAGTTTCCTCACTTTTTACATGAATGTCTGGTCTCAGCTCTGTCAAATCCACGGAGAGGCAAAATGTATCTGGATTTGGCTTTTGGCACATGTTATAACTGTTAGGACCACATAGGGGCTATTCAAGTGCTCACACTGAGTTGAATTAGCTGCAAATAAATTATACACTGATTGACAGATGTCTCTTTCCTAATGTTAGTAAAAAGTATTTTTGTACAAATCTGACTGACATGGACGTGAAGTACCATCGTTTGGCTGGTTAAAACTGTTAGCACTGTTGTTGTAATTAGCACTGTTTTCACTGTTAACTCTCAAATTCTTACACCATTTTTACTGTCAGTAAATCTGCTCCTACATGCTTTCTTCTCTGCAAGGCAACACTTACATTCAAAATACAATCATCTGCTGCAACCAGCACTTTGTTTGCTGCTGTTCCAGTTTCAAAGCCCAATTACGTTGTTTAGAACTCTTTTTTTTTCTCTGCAGGATGCTCTCATCCTTTGACTTTCACTCTCTGTCTCTCGCCATATCTTTCTGTCAACCATTTAGTCATTCTGTCAGTCAGTCCTTCTCTTTCTACCTTCCTCTCCTCCTCTCTTAGGGGAGAGAGACACACACACACATTAATTGAGCTTAGGTACCCTTGGGCCTGCTGTTGAGTCTGCCCATGAATTCGGCAGTGCTTTCTCTCTGAATCCAAAGGGAAACTTAATGAATAATGAACAGGGCACTGAGAGGGGTGTGTGGGGGTGAAGGATGAGGAGATGGACGACATGAGAAAATGAGTGAGTGAGTGAGTGAGAGAGAGAGAGAGAGAGAGAGGGGGGGGGTTGGCCCTTCAGGACCAGGACACAATGGAGAGATGGAGGGAGGGCGACTTGTTAGTGCTCACCCATCAATTAGGAAGCAGAGGAGACATGAAGAGAATGGAGGGTGATGCGTCATGGAGGAGGGGGGGTGAATGAAGGTCTATAAACTAAAGAGTGTGCTTACTAAGGACACAGATTAGGCATCAGAGCAGGGGACGTGGGATGAGAGGTATGGAAGTGAACAAGGAGAGGCAGGGGTCTCGAAGACGTCAGAGCACACTGCCTCCAGCTCCATCTATCATCCAGGCCGAGTTCCTCCTGCCAACACATCTGTGTGTCTACTCCACATCCAGAGCTGGCACACAGCTTCAAACACGCCCTACAGTGGATGTGCTCAGTGTATTACACAATAAGCAATGAGTCTCCTTGAAACTGCAGATGAGTATACTCATTTTTAGAAACACACTTCCTGATATTTTTGTTTGCAATTGGGCCAAACGTCAGATGATCACTGTATCTTCATAGATCTGTTCAGAAGATATCTCCTGAAAATGTATGTTCTGTAACTTCTGGAGGTGTTTTAATTTTCGGCTAACTTGAACCAGGCTTTTTGAATGAATTGCAGTGCAATACTTTCACAGCGGGGATCCTAGACTCTGGGGGGCTGCAAGTAAAGAAACCCATTGAGGCCTTTGTATGTTAACATTACAAGTATGATTGCCTATGTCACTAAAAATGTTATTTATGAAAGGTTTAAAGCTGTTTTTGCACAACTTTTGAGTCACCATTGGAGGCTGCTTTCCCCTTATTATGGTGGGCCTACATATTAGCCTGCTTGGCTGTCGAAAAGTATTTTTAAGTGTTTTAATGGCATAAAATTACCCAAAAATAGCTATGTGTCACCCATTATAAGAGCTGTTTGAATTCTCTAGATCACAGGAAAGGAGCTTCAATGCTTCCCTTTGTATCTCCTTTAGCATCCTTTTCCTATGTCCTGAAGAATGAAGGAATTAAAGGTCACCTATTATGCAAAATCCACTTTTTTATGTATTTTATACATAAACATGTGTCCCCTCTGTGTAAAGAGATTCTGATCCATTTATATAAAAACCTGTCTGTAAATGAGCTGATCAGATTTTGGCCACTTTATGATGTCATAACGATTTTTTTGGCTTGTGTAACCATTAGCCAATCAGCAACCANGTGAAACTGGTAGGTTTTCGCCTGTTTGGGGATTTTATATCCAGTTTACTTCGTTTTAACATTGCTATTGCTTTGTATGTCGGGGGCGGGAGATTCATGTGATTGGTCGCAAAAAATCGCCAAGCTTCAGACACGCCCAGCATCAAGATTTTTTTCATGCCTGTGTGTGGACGGGCCGTAAGGAAGTCTGAAGGAAGGCGCAGATTTTTTTCGGCTGCGTACTTTCAAATTCTAGCGCACTCGAGCTGGTTTGTCCATTCTTCCCTACCCTACCTTTAAGCAACAACTTAAATCAATATAGTCTCATTTATTTTATTTTGACATGTAAGCCTGTTTGTGTTTCAATAAAAAATATTTAGCCCTGCTTCAAATAACTAAGAGAGTGTTTTAGTTTTCTCAGTAAAATGACATTGGTTCCTCTGATAGCCACACATGCAGACCCCTGTGTTGATACATGAGGGAAGGATCGCACTCCCAAACAATATTTGCGCTTTAGTATCTGATGAGTTTATCATATGGCACTGTTGAGATAAAGGAGACATGAAGTGCAGTACTAAGAACTACGCCACTTTTTGTGACTGATTGTGACAACTGTTGAATGGTGTGTTGATTTTCCTCAGGTCAAACAGATGTGACTCTTTCTCTCCATCCTTTACATAGCAAACTAACCAAATCTTACACATCAAGCTAATTTGTGTCTCTTTTTTTTAAAGAAGGGCAAACTGTATTATTCTATTTGACAAAAGCAAACCTGTATTAAAGGGGAACTCTTTAGTTAAATAAATAAGACCTCATCTCTTCTCGTGGCTACATTAGCTGCTACTGGCATAGCACAACCACATATGAGAATGCCCTTTTAACGTACAGTTGCATTGTGGGTATTGTAGTTGCTAGATTGATTTTGAAAAGAGATGCATTTTCATTTTTTTATGATGTCTGATGCATCGATTTAGACTTTTTCATTAACTGACCAATCGTGAGTCGGACTATGTTTTGAAAGTGTTATTCCAAATGTGTGAAGTAATCATTTCAGACCTTTGTGTTGTATGTTAATTACATACAATGTTCAAACATCCAGTGTTTGTACTATTTATATTGAATGATCGTGTTTGTTGATGCTGGCATGGATACCAGTGGAGGATCCTCAGCCAGAGTTGTGGGTTTTCTGAAAACAAGCTCTGTAATTGCCTCCTTCCTTTTACTGGATGCTGCGAGTCGCAACAAGTGTCAGAGCGCTGTTTTTTTCTCTTCTTCTCTGTTTAACACGGATTCAGCAACAGAGAGCAGCGGATAAAAGAAGAACATCTCACACCAGTTTAAAGCTAATTTACCG